CCCTGTACTCCAGATTTTGGGCAGCATGGCCAGAGAGGACTACCAAGACAGAAATTCTAGGGATACAGTTGGCAACAAGTGAATCCCAGTGAAAATGTTTTCCAGGATTGAGGTCCATTCTATCCACTGGAACTCCTCCTCTTTCAGTCACAAAGCCTAGGAGTCCTCCCTGTATCTTATGGAAACATATGAGCTGTTGAGTTGACATTCCTGTCCATATCAGTTGCCAAGGACTGTTTCCCAATAGAGGCAGTCACTTGTGCTGATTCTTGATACCATTCCTTAGTGCCCTTGAAGGTCTCATGAACAGATGAAACTTGAAAGAAACAATATGAGGTTTAGGAATCACAGTTGTAGGAAGCTCAACAGGAGGAATAGTTGGAGGCTCAGCAATGGGCTGAGTGGAAGATAAGTCCTTAACCAATTGGATGAGAAATTTTCTCTTGGTCTTGATACACACTCTCCCTTCCCTGACACTTTTCACTGTACCCTTTGCAGGTGTTTTCCAGGGTTCCAGGAGGATTTCTGGGTCCTAATCCTCACAAAAGCAACCATCAGAGGAACCTTTGTTACTTCTGCAATTACATCAAGTCTGACATCTGAAATCGTCTCAATCCTTGAATCAGGAGGGAGTCCTGCTTTCTCCTCAAGAAGGAGTCTAGAACATTCCTCTGCTTGGACAAAAAATTTGCCTCTTGAAGTTTTCTTACCCTTGAGTTCCTTGCATCATTCATATTCTTGGTTGCTTGTGATTCCTCCTCTTCAAGACTTAACTGGTCATGATGGGTTGCAATCTGCCAAAGACCAAAGACTGACTTGTCAATCTCCAGACATTTCCATCACAATTCTGGTGCAATGGATACCCTACTAGTGAATCAAAAAAATCCTCAGATATGTTTCCTCCAGTATATATCTCTGTAGTACTATGAAGAAGTTTATCCAGGAAAAGCATTTGCAAAGTTAGGTTGCCAAGAAATGGTAAATTGCTTGTCTGCATCACTGCATGAACATCTGGGCATCCATCAACAATAGTGGTGAAGCCACTGTCAACAAATGCACACTGCAGCTTCTCTTTAGAGAATTCTTTTGCCTTAACCTGAGGAGAACTTGCAGCACAGTCAATAATAGCAGAAGATATTGTATGACAACTCTCTTTTCTTCCTACCTTGAAGAAGGACCCCATCATGTCTATTGGCTGGAAGCAATTGTTAGCTTTGGGACCAATCTTGTTGTAGAACACCATGCCTGTCTTGAACAAGGTTTCAATGGTGTCAAGCCTATTGAGTCTTGACAATTGATTCATGCCACTATCAACTCACACTCACCCTGATAGCTCTTCTAGGACCTTAGCAGCAGCAGCTGACATATGATTGCAGAACCCTCCTGTAATAAGAATATATTGTACAGGCTTGGCAACCAAATAGGACAAAATTGTACGTTTTGGGCCCTTATTTTTCT